GAAGAGAGACGGAGGAAAAACGCCCCCCCTTCAGGAGTAAGTCCGTGTGAGTGTGAGTGTGAGTGTGAGTGTGAGTGTGAGTGTGAGTGTGAGTGTGAGTGTGAGTGTGAGTGTGAGTGTGAGTGTGAGTGTGAGTGTGAGTGTGAGTGTGAGTGTGAGTGTGAGTGTGAGTGTGAGTGTGAGTGTGTGAGTGTGGGGGGAGAACACGCACGAGAGAGCGTGTGCTCACGCACAGCTATGTGTCTGAGAGAGGAAGAGGGAGAGCATGTGCCTGGACACACACAGTGCTGACAACACCAAGAATTAACTTTTTATCTTTTAAAAATTTTCAATATTTTGGAAGTTCAAAATTTACTTTATTTTTCATGACTCTAGTTGTTAGCGTATGTGACATTTTAAGCCAACACCACTGATTTTATTTCATCGATAGCAATTTCATTTGCTACCACATGACCTACTCTAGCCTTGAGCCTTGAACACAATAATTTTAATGATATAAGAGATAACAAGTGAGAAACTGTTCCTAATGAAAGAAATTTGAGAAATAACAAGATATATTCTGAGAATATTGAAATGATCGATACTAAAAATAAAATGCAGAAACGCTAAGAAGTAGGATGATTAAGGAGGTTTTTATTAAAATATTCAAAACTGTGAAAGATTTCCTCTTACTTTCTTTTTACATCTTTTATCTTATTTTTCTAAGACCCTAATATTTACTATATAACTTATTGTTAAATCATTGCAAATAAATATTTTACTCTCAGTTTTTAAAAACTCTAGCTTTTGATTTCTTAACATACTAAGTTATTTTGTTACAAATTTATGAAGAGTAATAAATAAATCATGAGCCATCCATCAGAAAAGGAGAGAGCCCTATTTTAGGGTTTGTTCTTTTTGTTTTGATTTTAAAATGACTATTTAAAGCATACCAAATACTAAAAAGGGGATCCCAACAAATAAAACTCCAGGACCAGATGGCTTTATTGATAAATTCTTCCAAACATTAAAAGAAAAGTTAATACCAATCCTTCTCAAACTCTTCCAAAAAATAAAAGGGAAAACTTCCAAACTTCTTTTATGAGGCCAGCATTATCCTGATACCAAACCAGACAAGGAAGCCACAAGAAAAAAAAAAGTCACAAGCCATCTGTTTTTGCAACATAGATGCACAAATCCTCAACAAAATATTAGCAAACTGAATTCAACAGTACATTAAAAGGATCATACACCATGAGCAAGAGGGATTTAATGCAGATTCAAAAATAGCTCAACATCCACAAGTTGATCAATGATCATCTCAATACACGCAGCAAAAGCATCTAACAAAATTCAACATACATCTACCATGAAAGCGCTCAATAAAGTGGGCACAGAGAGAAGGTACTTCAATATAATAAAGGCCATATACGACAAGTCCACAGCTAACATCACACTCAAAAGTGAAAGCTGAAAGCTCTTCCTCCAAAATCCAAACAAGACAAGGATGCCTGCCTACTGTCTCTCACCACATCTATTCAGCATAGTACTGGTAGTCCTAGCCAGAGCAATTAGGCAAGAAAAAAAAAAAAAGAAAAAAAAAAAGGGATCCAATGTGGAAAGGAAGAAATAAAATTGTTACTATCTGCAGATGACATATAGAAAACCCTAAAGGTGCCACCAAAGAACTGTTAGAATAAATGAATTCAACGTTGCAGGATAAAAAATCATTATACAAAAATCAGTTGTGCTTCTCTACACAAATAACAAACTATCAGAAAGAGAAATTAAGAAAACAACCCCATTTCCAATTACCTCAAAAAGAATAAAACATCTAGGAATAAATTTAACCAAGGAGGTGAAAAACCTGAACAATGAAAACCATGTCATTGATGAAAGAAACTGAAGAGCACACAAACAAATGGAGAGGTATTCCATGCTCACGGATGGCAATAATTAATACTGTTAAAATGCCCAAATCCAAAGCAATCTACAAATTCAGTGCAATCTCTCAAAATTCCAAAGGCATTTTTCACAAAAATAGAAGAAACACTCCTAAAATGTGTAGGGAACCACAAAAAATACACCAAATAGCCAAAGCAACCTGAAGAAGTACAAAGCTGGAGGTATCACACTTCCTAACCCTAACCCAGGCCACCGCCTGCTTCTATAGAGCCCATAAGCTAAAAGTAATGTTTACATTTTCAAATGTTTAGGGGTAAAATCAAAAGAAGTATGCTTGTCTAATGATATGTGAAAATTACAGGACATTCAAATATCAGTGTCCACAAATACCATTTTATTGGAACACAGCCACACTCATTTATGTATTCTCTATGGCGGCTTTCACGTTATAATGACAGGGCTAAGTAGCTGCGAAAGATCTTATGTGGCACTCTCATCAATTCACACTGCTGTTCAGCACACCATAAGTTGCAGTATTGAGTTACAATTCAAAAGTATTTCAAGTCCCACAGGTATCACCATACCACATTTTTTAAATTACCAATTCATACAGATCATGTAAAAATAAGCAAAGAAGAGATAAGTGGGCTCTGAATGTCATGCTTTTAAGGCACAGAAGAGTATGGGTCTTGTTTTCAAATTAAATGGTAAAACATTGTGTTTATTATGCAGTGGCACTACAATTGTGCTAAAAGAATAGAATATATATCAATATTATCAAACTCTGCACTCATCACAATATTCTCAACCCACAGGAAAGCAATAATCTGAAAAATTCTAAAATTCTAAAAGATTATATCATCACACAGAATTTCTTCACAAACATAGAAACAAGACTGCATCCAAAGTAAATTTCCAGGTAGCTCATTTGTTAGCCAACAAGGAAAGTAATTTATCATCTACCAACGGTGAGTCAATTAAATTGTATTTGACTGCAGAAGCCAAAGAAATGCATCCAGAGAAAACAAACTGTCTAAGCCTATTAGCCTTTTGGAGAGAACAGCGCTGCTTCAAGAGTTGACGTTTTGGGGAGCAAAATCAATAATAAACTAAAATAACAAGGCAGAAGATTTCAATTGGTTTTCCTTGACTCTTGATGAATCAACCAATACTGCTCAGTTGTTGAAGAGTCAATGCAGAGTTTAAAGTGAATCAAAAATTAGCTCCTATGTAGAGTATGCGTGTGGCAACTACAGGCCACAGTTTTCGCAAATAAACTCAGCAAACATAAGTTCAGTACAACCTGAAGTGGAATCTACTAAGATACTTTAAAACTGCTTTTGGCAAAAAATATGTGTGGAGCAGAAAAAGGCTTAGACATACTTTCAGCCTCTGTTACTGAACACTAAATAGCTTTTGTAATTAGTTTTTGCTGCAAATTTGATGCTATAACTTAATGAATTTTGCCAAAAATTAAAAGGCAAGACATAGCTTATATAAGAAACTTACAATGGAATAATATTGTCAAAATCGCAAGTATTCATGAGCTGCTATGCATACTTCCCAACTATCAAACATTAAAACAAGATGGGGGATCTCCATCACCACATAGATTTGCAGTTAGTATATATTCCAAGCTCAAACTACAGTTCCAGCAGGATTTTTCAGACCACAATACAAATGCAAAGTAAATCTCCATACAGCAAAATCCATTTAACTGCAACTGCAGAGCTTCCATCTAACCTTCATTTGGAAATTTGCAATGTTATGCTAAAAGGCAAATATTACAAGAAAAATCTACTAGAGTTCTGAAAATGCCTTCTAAGCAATGAATATGCTCAATTAAAATCATATGCTCACAAACTGATGTCAGTATTTGGCAGTATGTATCTGAGTGAAAAGGCATTTTCAAAAATGAAATATTATAATCTTATTACAGATCAGCATTGACAGATGAACATTTGCATTCAGTTTTAATAAGAAATACTAACTTTTAACTACAATTGAATAAAATGTTACTTTACACAAAAAGATTTCATTTTTCTTATTAAGGGGCCTGAATTACATAGAGTTATAATAAATTAAGTGGGTATTTTAAACATATATGGAAAACTACACTGCATAGGATTTTTCCACCTAACTCCCCCACAAAAACTATTGCTCCAGCATCTCACTAAATGTAAACTCCATTCTTCAGGTTGATCAAGCCAAAAACCTGGAAGTCATCCTTGACTTGTCTTTATCTCACTCTCTATATCACATTCATCAGCAAAAACATTTGGCTTTATCTGTAAAACTATATCCAGAATCTAACCATTTTTCATCATATCCGCCATCCTGGTACAAGCTATCATCACTGTTCACCTATTGCAGTAATATTCTAACTGGTCTCCTTATTTCCTCTTTTACCCCCTCATGTAGCCTATTCACAGCAACCAGAGATTCCCTTTAAAATTCTAAGCCAGATCATGTCACTTCTCAGTCAAAAATCCTCCAGTGGTTTCCCATCTCACTCAGCATAAAAAAACCAAGTCCTTATAATGGGCTACAAGGAACTATATGACCTGCTCTCCACCCACCCAACCACTTCTCTGACCTCATCTCCTTCTGTGGTTCCCTGGCTAAGCTTCAGCCACATGTCCTATTTTTGTGTTTTTTCCAAAGCTTTTTAATCCTATGCCACAGATTTTAACTTATTCTTCCACTGCCTGAAATGATCTGGTCCCTGATAAATCTCCTCCCAGAAGCCATCTGTAACCACCCTCTATAGCTAGCAACTATCCTTTCTCACTGTCTGCCACTCTGTAACCCTACTACTCTGCATTAATGTCCTACAAGAGCATATATCACCACTTAACATATAATATTTTTATTTAATTACTTTTCCTCCTACCCCATTAAAATATAAGCTCCACAAAGGCAGGAAATTTGTGTGATTTATTCAGGGTTCTACCTAGAGTCTAAAACAGTGCCTGGAATAAATTATTTGCTCGATAGATAGCTATCAATGAAAGAACACAGCAACAACAAAAATTTTCCATAAGAAATGCTTCTTCAGTTCCTCTTCCTTATGTAAGTAAAATGCACATATATACATGTACATAACACTGATTTACCATTGCACTGAGTGTTTCCTCCCAGTCGGGCCGCTCTCGAGGGTGAACGTTTCTGTGTAGTTCTGGAACAAAATCATCCTCTTCAGAATGTACCGAGGACTTCATCTTCCTAGAGATCAACACATGAAAGACTTTGATAAGAATTTACATTTCTATAAAAACTTTCCAAGGATCACAATTCAAAGAACAGAAAATTATGTAAGACTTAAAGATTAGTTAAAAGAGCTCTCTGGTGGCTAGTATTGCTCAGTTTCTCCTCTAGTTTTCAGAGATCTTTCCTGATGTATCAAATGCCTGCTTTTATTCCAGGAGATAAAACTAAGGTTTATAACTAGTTAATATGTGGTAATTATTATATAAGGACAGATTTTATCAGTTCAACACAGTTGGAACCTTGAAAAGATCTGCAACAGCCATCAACATTTATAGAACTGTGTTAAGCATTAGTAAAATTCCAGGATGAAGGGAAAGACACAGTGCTTCTGTTTCCAATTTACAGCGGAGAGTGTATTAAACTCTCAGGGACAGCAACTCTGACTATTGGACAAAACACATAAAACTGCTTGTCTGAAGGCTCAGGAGAGCAATCAGTACAAACAGAATTTCTGGGACTAACTACATTCTTTAAGAGAAGAAAACCCATGAAGCAAATTTCATATTTAACCATTGTTTTTGTATAGTAGACTTTCTAAATCAATGGTTGAAAACAGAAGCCAAGAATAATATTGTAGTCTAACTAGACTGAAGAGACATAGGCTGGATACTGGGGTACCAAAGCGCATGGGGATTCAGGGTAAAAATACTACCCCCCAAAAGACCTGTAGAGTAAGAGTCCAAAAATCTACGTGGAAATTCCCCTCAAACTTCTGGTTCCTCAGCTTACAAGTATGTAGGACAAAAAGCCAAGAAATCTACCAAAAAACAGCTGCTGGGCAACTAATGGGCCAAGCAGATATTTCACAGCCTAGCCATGCTGAGGAAACGGAGGTTAGCAAGCAAGGAAACGGAGGTTAGCAAGCAAGCACTGCCCAAAACAGAGGGGCACTGAAAAAAACAAACAAAAATTGGGACTCTCAACTGAGACTCCAGAGAAGCCATGCCTTAGGACTAAGGACAAAATAGCAATAGATGAGCTCAAACAAAGCCTAAAACCAAGCCTTGACATGATCAGAACTGCCAGAAGAAAAACTAACTCTCTTCAGAGTAAAATAACACTCTACAGACCCCTTGCAAATTGTTCATTCACCTTGTCTGCTATCCAGTAAACATTATAAGGTATGCTTTAAAATAAACAGGAACAAATGAATAAAAATTTGAAAAAACTTAGTCAAAACAGAAAAAGACTTACATTTGACTTGGATTTTAGAATTATCAGAACGGGAATTAAAAATGGCTATGATAGATTTCTGGCATCTGGTTATGATGTAGAAAGGTGTAAAAAACATCACTCCCAGTCTAACAACAAGACAGATAACTATGAAATCACAACTTTTCTTGAGTCCATCGGAAAACTGAGGTCTCAGGGCAACCAACTATTAGCCTAAACTCTAAGGAACAACAGGAATACCCAAGATGATCTAAATCACAAGCAATTACTTGCCTAGAGCAAGGCAGGGGTAAAAGAGAGATACACAAGTTGGTAAGAAAAATTCAGTTACATTTTTATCAAGCTGATAAAAACATAATATGTTCAGAAAAAAGTATGTTCATAATAAAAAAGATGAAAAGATAAAGAACTTCAACACAAAATTGGAATCTATGAAAAACAATCAAATGTTCATCCTAAAAATAAAATATCTGAAATCAAGAATTCAAAGGATGGGTTTAAAAGAACAATGAACATGGCTAAAGAGAGGATTAGTGAACTAGAAGATTGTTCAGTAGAAAATATCTACAATGAAGAACAAAGAAAATAGGAACAGAAATACACAAAACAGCAGAAAACACAGCAAGCTTGGTAAAAGGTCTCAAATATATCTAAACTAGCAACTCAGAGATAAGAAATATGATGAAAGAGAAAAAGGGACAAAAGCAATATTGAAAAATGATGGCTGAAAACTTTTCAAAACTGATGAAAGTCATCAAACTACAGATTGAAGAAGTCCTCAAGCAGGATTTTTAAAAATAAAAACAAAACAAAACAGAAAAACACGTAGGTATATTATACTCACACTGCTATTTTTAAAAAAAGATTTTAAAAGCTAAGAAATTCTTAAAAAGAGAGAATAAAAGGCAGAGGATAAAAGACAAGTTGATTTCAAAGAGCAATAATAACAATGTGAGAGGACATTTCAATGGAAACGAGAAGATGATGGAGTAAACCTTCAGCTTAATAAAAAGAAAAGATATTGCCAACCTAGAATCCTCTACCTCACAAAATTATCCATTTAAAAAGCAGGTAAAATAAGTTATTTTCAAAGAAAAGATGAATTTGTCACCAGGAGACCTGGGGGGAACAAAAAAAGTGTTCTTCCCACCAAAAAAAACTGATCCCAGAACTACAGAAATGAACAAAGAGTAAAATAAAGGACAAAATGTGGGAAATTTTAAGTAAATACTGATGCTAAAGCTCATGTGTACACAAAAATATCCTTGGAGGTTTATAGCAAACATAAAGCACAGAGGATAGGGAAAGTACATGCAAACAGTTTAGGGGTCCTCTATTTTTAGGTAAGTGAAGTAAGTCCAACTTCAAAGAGTGCAGTCAGTCAAAGATAAAAGTTGCAATATCTATGATTAAACATTAAGAGAATAATAAATAAATGTATAGCTAAAAAGCTGATAGAGGAGAAAATTTTGAAAACTAAAACATACCTAATTAACCAACAAGAAAGCGGGAAAGACTAAGGGCACAAAGAAGAAACTAGGCAAATAAAAGATCAAGATGGTGACCTTCAATCCAAGTATATTATTATAATTTTTTTAACGAATGGACTAGTAGGCAAGCACGTGGAGAAACTGGAACCCTCACTCACTGCTCGTAGAAATTTAAATGTTGCAGCCACTGTAGAAAACAGTTTGGCAGTTTCTCAAAACGTTAAACACACAAATACTGTATGATCCACCAATTCCACTCCTAGGTAGTTAACCAAGACAAAAAAAAGCATATATCCACCAAGAACTCGTACATGGATACACATACTAATATTATTCATCATAATAACCAAAAAGCGTAAACCACCAAAATGCCCATCGGTTGATGAAGAATGAAGAAACAAAACGCACCAGGTCCATCCAATAAAATATTATCTAACCAATAAAATAAAATGAAGAGCTGATTCATTGTATCACATGGATGACTAGCATTAGGCTAAATGACAGTCAGTCAGTCACAAAACAAAATGTCCAGATTAGTCAATCAAACCCATAGAGACAGAAAGGATATTGGTAGTCGCCAGGGACTCCGGGTAGGAGGACATGGAGAGTTACTACTAATCAATAGGAGATTTCTTTCTGGAATATTCAAAAATTAGATAGTGGTGGTAGTTGTATAACTTTGTGAATATACTAAAAACCATTTAATTGTAGACTTTAAAACAGTGAATTTTATGTATGCGAATTATATCTCGAAAACAAGTAAGTGGACTAAAAAAAAATCCATTGAAATAAAGGGAGGACATCTCACAATGGCAAAAGTGTCAAACCAACAGGGTGATAGAATAAAAAAAAGCCCATCAAAAATACAATAGATAAATAATTTAAATAATTTTCTATATAATAGATTACTACATAGAAGTGAAAAAGAATTATTGCAGGATTCATCAACTGGAAACAAGCGGATGCATCTCCTAAGTGTTGAAAAACAGAACACAGACATAAGACATAATGTTTCCAATATATAATTGTATTAAATCATGTTTTACCTTAAACTCGCACAATGTTATATGTTAATTATATCTCAATAAAGCTGGGGGGGGAGGGGAAGAGTACCTACTGTACAATTTTATTTACATGAAGGTCAAAGACAAGGAAAAATAATCTATTGTAACAGAAATCAGAATAATGTACCTTTGGCAGAGGTACAGGTGCTGGAAATCATTTATATCTTGACTGGGTTTTAATTACATGGGCATATACACTTATGTAAATTCTTCAAGTTACATATATTTATAATCTGTGGACTTTATGATATGCAAATTATACCTAAATAACAGTTTATTGGCAAATGTTACACATTATTATAAAAGGTATAAAACTGTTTATACACATTGGGTCATGTAACAAATAAACTCTATAAAAACTTTGTATCTACTTATTGAACTGACTCTTGTTCTCTTTAACTTATGAACTAATCTAACCCTTAAACTGATTAATTATAATTCCATATATTAACAGAAAAGACACAGGGTTAAGATTATCAATCATAAAACCTGGAGAATCTAATGCTATATTTTATAAGAGTTTTCTATAAAATATCTCCAGATTTGAACCTGGACATTTTTAATAAAAAGAAAAAGCAGGGAAGAAACCACTCTCTTCAAATTGTGGGGACCAGCTTTGCCATCTTCCTACTTCCCTCATTCAAAATGGATTTAAAACTTTGACATATACTCATTTTATATCTGTATGAAATTATTGTTCCTAACTTACGAAAAATTATTTTTGATAGTATTAAAGTTCCACAGAGAAGTCCAAGTGACACAGTACCCAAAGACATGGACATGCAGGACTGCTTTGTCGCAGGCATGTATTTTCTTGATTCCTGGAGTCATTTCCAAGCAGCACTAGTACTTTACCTTTCTCCTTTTATGCCCCTAATCTTTGTTTTTGATTATTTCTGGTTCTTGACCAACTCTAGTTCTGATTCTGCAACCCTTGTGGTAAGTTATTCCCCATTGGTATGGGAAATGGCTGGGAAGTCTTTTTATGGTCTGACCATGACCATGTGGTGATAGCTGACAGAGACAGGCATCTATTCTCTGTCAGAGACAACAGAGAATGTGGCTGGTTAGTAAGAACGTCTCAGTTCCACTGGAGAGAACAGCGCTTAGAGATATCTGAAGTCTGGTGTCCTCTGTTAATTTTACCCATGGCTAAAGTTGTAAAACTAAAGCTGCAAGGTGTCTATGTGAGTCTGTAACTGACAGAAATCATTACTTGTCATCACAG